CCAGACCTGGCACCATCGGATTATTATTTGTTCCGGTCACTCCAAAATTTTTTAGACGGTAAAACCTTCACCTCAAATGAGGAGGTCAAAAACCTCCTCGATCAGTTTTTTGCCAGCAAAGACCAAAAATTTTATGAGCGTGGAATTATGCTACTACCAGAAAGATGGCAAAAGGTGTTGGACCAGAACGGTCAATATATAATTTAATAAAGTATTTGTTTATTATACGAAAACTGTCTTTCGTTTCCACAAAAAAAAACGAAATGACTTTCCGAACAACCCTATATGTACATGTGCGGCAGTTGTAGTAGTAATATTTCTGTGTATGTTATTTTTATTCCATTAATATTATAAAAATGGTCAATAGTAGCTATTAATCAAATGAAAAATCTTTTGCATTAATTTTTAATATTTATTACTCTTATTCCATTATGATCCTTGGGTGAAGTTACAATTTCACATGTAACAATCTATCTTCAAGAAGAAATAAACCATCTTCATTTTGAAAATAGTCTGGTAAATGAGAAATTCTAACTTCATCATTTAACAAAACTTTAAATAAAACTGAATACCATTTAAATTTCCCGCCTTTTTCTTTTAATGTTGACCCCTCGTAACAGATAACGCAGAGACTGAAGTTATGCATCTATATGAACCTCTCTTGTCTATGTTCTTTAATCTATGGTTTAGATTATTATCTATGGTTTAGATTAACAACAATCTTAATACAAACATGAAACATAACTGCTTATTGAATTAAACTGTTAAAGGTTATTAATTTAGTAAATAAAGTAGTATATTTGAACACTTCGTCTTTGTAATGGAAAACAGCAGATTCCTGGAATTAAATAAAGCAAGTTGGATTTATGTTAAATAAATTCTAACCCGCATTTTATCTCTGTATTTTCGTAGAAGGAACCCGATAAAAACAAGGAGCGAAATGAGGGAAATAGTAACAGCAGTAATCAAAACAATATCGATGACGTTAATTCCTCTTTTAACTCAATTTTAATGGATACCAGTAAAAACGAGCCTGCCTGCAGTTCAAACAATAGTGTAATTTTAGAACAGCTACCATCTGATAATGATAGCATTGAAAATGATTGTTCTTATGAAGAAATAGAACTTGCAAGTGTTACTAATCAAAACTTTAAAGAACAGAACTTGGCTATTTGTGTGGCTAAGACACCTAAAATGCAGTTAAATTTTCATAGTGATATCGGTGGTGATGGTCAAAACACTGAAGACAATAATGAAGAATTTATAAAATGCATTATATATGGTATAATAGAAAGTTCTAATTTTGATGATGAAACTACTTTTCCTAGCAAAAGTAGTAATAGTTTTAATTTATTTGAGGAAATTAATTTAAGTGACAGTTTAATTGAAAATCATTTAAAACCTACATTGCTAAATGAAAGTAGTAATCAAAATACTAAATTAAATTCTGATATTGCAATTAGGGAACTGTTATTAAAAGTGAAGCAATTAGAGGAAACTGTAATAGTGAAAGAAGCAGCATTGAATGCATTAACCTTAGAGTTAGAGTCCCTCAAAGAGATTCACTCGAACAACTCCTCAACATTAAATTCTGGTACTTCAACAACGGAATATAGATGTATACACGATGAATTGCAAAATAAAGTAAGTGGGTTACATTGATTTACTCAATATTTAATAATTAAAAATTATTTTTAAGATTGTTGATTTCCAAAATGCTCTTGCATATAGAGACAATATCATACAACAGCTTACAGAATCACTACAGCAGAGTGTTAATAGAAAAGAAGAATTACAAAGAGAGAGTCAGCTGTTTTTACAAGAAATTAACCTTTTAAAACAACAATTACTTGATACATCTAGTTTATTTTGTGAAAACAAGAATAAAAGCAATCTTGTAGAAAGTGAAATACAAACTGAAGCACATTTTGAGATTACTGATACAGTAGCACTCTGGACAAATAATGATTTACTCAATTTGTTAGTAAGATTAGAATCACAATTAAACCCTTCGCAAATGAATTTATTTTCTGATATTAAAATGAAACTTTATGAAAATATGAAGGAAACCCTTTCTAATTGTAAAAGAAATAATGAAGAGAATGTTATGTTGCAGGTAAAATATCATTTATTGGTATTTCTAAGATTTTAATATTCTTTTGAGTGAATTATTTATTTTTTCTGTTTTGTTTTGTTTTGTTCATTTTATAATCAGTTATTTATTAATCTAAAGTAAACCATTAATAGAGAAAAGTTTCGAAATAATTGTGAACACCCCTTCATATTCAAGAGAATGTTCAATAATTCACTAAAATGCATTTTTTTAATTTATGTAGGATGAATTGTCAAATAAGAATGAACAAGAACTGAAAATTGCTCAATTTAATGAATTAGTTATGGATGCTGAAACTTCTGAATTTTCCCGACTCAGATTAGAATTAGAAGTCAAACATGCTAAAGAAATGGAAGAACTTAGAACCTATTTCGAACAAAAATGTGCCGATCTAGAGAAACAGTAAGTATAAAACTTGGTGTTATTATAATATTTTAACGTTTAAATGCATATTTCAGTTATTCTGAAGAAGTGCTAAATAGTCGAAAGTTATCAGGTTCTAGCTACTGTTCCGGACATGATTTAAATTCTGATGTATTTTTATCAAATAATGAAATGGGCCCTGGGGGTGATACTTCCAATTTAACTAATAATATTGAGAAATATAATGTTGCAGACATAACTAAGTCTGATATTCAAAAATTTAAGAATGATTTGCAAAAAATCTGTGATATAATGGAAACATTTGATTTAATAAATGCTACAAACTCTGAATTGCATTTATTAGTTCAAAGCATCAGTGTGTATGACATGAAATTATTAACTCAGATTAATTTAACAGAAATACAAAACAGAAATCATACAGAACTGGAAATATTAAGAGACAATTATGAAAATAGAATCAGTTTACTAGATGTAGAATATAACAAAAAGATACAAGACATAGAAAGGAAGCACAATGAAGAAATCTCGTCACTTAAAGAACAATTACAAAACAACGTTAGAAATCAACATGAAGTGGTTGTATTTATAGTGTCTAATTATATAATGTTAGTATAATTAATTCATTTTCAGGCAAATCCTGGTGAATCTGAGTTAGCTGAAGTCGTACAAAGTTATGAACGTAAACTGCAAGAACAAGTAATGTTAGCAAAGATAGACATAATAAACGCTCTCGAATATCAAATTCAGGTAATCTTAATATTTTTTATACCGTAAATATCATTAAAAAAAATATTAGCCTATAACACTCGGTTCAACTCAGTTGTGAGTTATTAC